ATCATTCTTACTAATTAAAAATGAGAAATATTTGGGGCACCTGGGTGGCTCAGTTGGTTAAGTGGCTATCTTTAGCTCAGGTCATGATCCCAGGGTCCTGGGAGCAGTACAGGGAGGGAAAGGAAGAAGCAGGCTCCCCACTGAGCAAGATGCCCAATGTGGGCTCTATCCCAGGACTCTGGGATCATGACCTGAGCTGAAGGCAGACACTTAACTGACTGAGCCGCCCAGGCACCTGATAACCGCTATAATTTAAAGGTTCGTTATATCTGTTCTGGGTCATTGTAAAAACCTAGTTGATATTCCTAATTTTAATCAAACCAGTTTGCTGATTTTTGTTTTTTACCTTCATGTGATTTACATCTTCCATACTGTGTCTATCAGTGGTATCATGCTTAGTGATTTGGAATAAGAGGAGAGAGTTGAACAAAATCTCTTTTCTTCCCCATCTCATGGCATTTCATCATATATATTTTCCATATTGGTCTTTCTGAAATGCTATTTAATGCCTGTAACATTTATTAGATATGACTGAGATATGATTTCTGCTATTAAGGAGCTTACACTCTAATAAATTGGTGTATATGTTGGTGAGAGATTATACAAGATGACCTTGAAGATTCTGTGATACTATGACTTATTGCTTTAAAGACTAGACTGAGATTCACTTTGTCCACAAAACTTTCCTGACTAAAAACTTATCTTCTGCTTTTACGTCTATAATCTCAAATAGACCAACCTTCTGACATACTTGTTAATATATTTCTTGGCCTTGTTCTGCCTGAGAGAGTTCTTTGTAATGGCATTCATTGTATGGAGATTGCAGAACTTCTATCACAAACTACACAGAAAATAGGATAGTAAATTCAAGTGATAGGAAATGTGAAAGTAGAAAGGTAAAAATGTAACCTTTGATGTTAGGTGAATATAAAAGTGGTCTGAACTTTAACCCAATTGGTAGAATTTAAGGTAGTAAAATATCCACAGTAAAAACCAGGGTTGAGGCAGGTTTCAAAAGCATTTTAAAAGCAGTCCTGTTTAAGAGCCATTTTTACTTTTTTTTTTTTTTTTGAGAACTGTCTGTTCATGTTTTTTCCTCATTTTTTAATTAGGCATTTGGTCTTTTAGTATAATAGTTACCCGCCATCCCCCTTCCCCAGCCTACCATCCTTGGTTTTCCTTTCCATGGTTTCAGTTACCTGCTGTCAACCATGGCCTGGAAGCAGATGGTTCTCCTTCTGACATACCAACAGAAGGTCAGTAGTAATCTAATACTGTGTCACAATGCCTAGGACATTCATCTCATTTCATCTAATCATGTAGGATGACTGAATGTATGTGACTAAATGTATGTGACTAAATGAATGTGTTTTCTGACAGAAAACACATTCATTTAACTTATATTACAGTATGTCCTTTTAATTGTTCTTTTTTGTTATTAACAATTCTTAATCTCTTATTGAACCTAATTTATAAATTAAACTTTATTGTAGGTATGTATGTATAGAAAAAAACACCGTGTGTGAGAAAATGTTCAACATCACTCAGCGTGAGGGAAATACAAATCAAAACCACAATGAGATACCACCTTACACCAGTCACAGTAGCTAAAATTAACAAGTCAGGAAACAACAGACGTTGGTGAGGGTGTGGAAAAAGGGTTCCCCTTTTACACTGTTGGTGGGAATGTAAGCTAGTGCACACACTGTGGAAAACAGTATGGAGGTTCTTCAGAGAGTTGAAAATAGAGCTACACTACAACCCAGCAATCACACTACTGGATATTTACCCCAAAGATACAAATGTAGTGATCCGAAGGGGCATGTACACCCCAGTGTTTATATCAGCAATGTCCACAGTAGCTAAACTATGGAAAGAGCCCAGATGTCCATCAACAGATGAATGGTTAAAGAAGATGTAACATATACGTACAATGGAATACTACTCAGCCATCAAAAAAATCAGATCTTGCCACTTGCAATGACGTGGATGGAACTAGAAGGTATTATGCTAAGCGAAATACATCAGTCAGAAAGACAATTACGTGATCGCACTCATATGTGGAATTTAAGAAAAAACAGCAGCATAGGGGAAGAGAAGAAAAATAAAGACAAAATCAGAGAGGGAGACAAACCATAAGAGACTTAATCATAGGAAACAAACTGAGGGTTGCTGGGGGGGCGGTGGAGGGATGGGGAAAGTGGGTGATGGATATTAAGGAGGACATGTGATGTGATGAGCGCTGGGTGTTATATAAGACCGATGACTCACTAAACTACCTCTGAAACCAATACTACATTATATATTAAGTTTAAATTTTTTTAAAAAGAAAAAGCTCAAAGGAAAAAAAAAAACATTGTGTATATAGGATTTGATACTATCCAAGGTTTTAGATATTCAGAGGGGGTCTTGGAACATCTCCCACAGAATGGGGGGTGGGTGGGTGGGAGGGGGAGGGGGGACTACTGTAGTTGATTCATAAGAACTCTATTTATAATATAAGGAAGTAATCCCTTTGTAATGTGAGTTACAAATGCCTTTCCCAGTTAGTCATTTGACATTATATTGTTCTCTGTTACAGAAATTTGATTTTTTTAATTAATGAAGTTTATTTTTTAAAGCAGTTTTTGGTTCATAGCAAAATTAATGGAAAGTACAAGAGAGTTTTCCTGTATACCCTTTCCTTGTACATGTTTAACCACCCCCCCCAGTGATCCCCCCGCCCCCATCACTGGTTCACTCCACAGTAGTACATTTATTACAGTGATGAACAGTCAGTTGAACAGTTCGTTATAATTAATGAAGTGTGATTTTTTTCAACTTACTTTTTGTTTTTTTATCACTTAGGAGACTTGTTATTTTATGATATTCTCTGTCTTGAAATTTAAAAAGTTGTCTTATAGAATTAAAATAAAAACTTTAAAAGAGTTATCCTACAATAGTAGTAATAACAATGACATTAACAACAAATAGTACTAATACAGATTGAGCTTACTCTGTGTTAGGCATAATCCCTAACCACGTTAGGTAGGTTGAATTAGTAGCTTTATTTTATAGGAGACAGAAGTACAAAATGTTTAAGTAACTTGTGAAAAGTCATGCAAGTAGTAGATGGCTGATTCTTTCCCAGGCAGCTTCGGTCTAGAATCTGTGTTCTTAAGCCTGTACACTGTACTGCTTCTTTTTAAACACTTTTATATTTTCTATGGACTTTTTTGGTATAATAGGTTTGAGGTAGGAATTCAACTTTATTTTTGGACTGCTTGGATAGAGGAAAGAGCTAGCAAAGAGGAGTATGAAGAATTGTTTGTCATGCTGTGAGTAAAGCAAGGCATGTGGTAGACGTTGTGGGATACTGCTGTGATTTAAAATAAGGAAAGTAATTTTGCAAGATGAAGTGATCTTGATGGTAGATGTTTCAGTGGAATGGGCTGAAGCACAAGTCAAATAGGGACTGTGTGGGGGCATAAGAACATAGAAATAGTGAAAACAAGTCTTTTGTCAAGTAGCTGTGAGTATGAAGGAAGAGGGCTATAGAATGAGGGGAAATTATTGTTTTATTGCAGAAAGATGAGAGAGACATACAGATGCTACAATGCTGGTAGGAAGGATTCAGATACAGAAGAGATTAAAGAAAATATAGTAAGTAAACTATTCAGTAATTGAGGTTCCTGAAAATCAAGAGGATAGACTCTGAAGCACAGATGCAGGGATTTGTATAGAAGATGTTCCCTTATTTCTAGAGGGTGCAGGAAAAGATGGGTGCAGATACAAGTGATTGTGAGCTTGTTGGTAGCAAGTGAGAGTTCCCATTTGATGGTGTTTCGTTTTGTTTTGTTTTCTTTTCTTTCTTTCTTTTTCTTTCTTTCTTTCTTTCTTTCTTTAAGATTTATTTATTTGAGAGTAGGATTGGAGGGTCAGAGGGGAAGAGAGAATCTTGGGCAGGCTCCCTGCTGACCAGGGAGCCCCACCTGGGGCTCAATCTCACAATCCTGAGATCATGACCTGAGATGAAATCAAGAGTCTGATGCTTCCCTGACTGAACCACCCATGTGCCCCAGTGATACATATTTTCTTTGTGAAGTTCAAGATGTCCTCTACTGAGTGGAGAGTTAGAAGTTTGAGGGAGATTGAAGGTATAAGGAGTGGGCAGAAGGTTTTGAGTGAGTTAGTTGAGAACAGGCAGGGATTAATGAAAGTCATCTAAGGAGGTTTTTGGACATTGTTGAAGGCCTACCCATTGAAAGTTGGTGATGACATCATGAGTGAATTTTTTTATTTTCTAGTGACTTACAGGCCCATTCTGTCATTATATTTACTATAGTTAATGTTATTTAATCATTTGCTATTCATTTAATTGTCAGTACCAACTTAGAAGTAAAAGGTAGGGCATACTCCTTTTAAAGCTTGCCAAACTAGTGTTTTAAATGTGTTGAATAGAGTAAGTTTGGAGAAAGATGAAAACAGTCACTACTTTTCACTTCATTTTGATACCCTTAAATAATGGAGAAAAGTTTCTTGGAAATTAATTTTAAATGTGCATGCTAACTCATTTAACTTGTATTAACATAGATGTTATCCTTGGGTAATTTGTACAGGATTATGAGATTAGATGTCTTAAGTTTAAACATGTGGTCTTGAATGTTTAAATGCCAGAATAGGGGCACCTCGGTGGCTCAGTGGGTTAAAGCCTTTGCCTTCGGCTCAGGTCATGATCCCAGGGTCCTGGGATGGAGCCCTGCATCGGGCTCTCTGCTCAGCAGGGAGTCTGCTTCTCCCTCTCTCTCTGCCTGCTGCTCTGCCTAACTTGTGATCTCTATCAAATAAATAAGTAAAATCTTAAAAAAAAAAAAAAAAAAGCCAGAATAGTATGTATTTTATTAGTAAGCTCATGTTTTTTTAAGGTATAATTTTCAGAATGTATAGAAAGGTTTCTACCACTGTTGTCAAATTTAAATTTATTCTTTGTTAAACTTGTTTTGTTTGTTTGTTTTATACAGGGTGTGATAGGTATACAGCTGGTCGTTACCATGGTGATGGCCAGTGTCATGCAGAAGATTATACCTCACTATTCTCTTGCCCGATGGCTACTCTGTAATGGCAGGTAAGGCAAAGATAGGCTGATTGTGTCACATTCAAATCTCAGGCTGATTGACTTCCCAGAAGTCAGTTCAATTAAGTATGAATTCCTATTTTTTTAAAAACATGACAAAAGGAACGTTATGAGAAGAATTTAGCTTCCTTCTTTTTCTTACTTGAGATATTGATATTTTATTTTTTGAGTATAAAGGTAATTGGATCATGGTGAAGAATTCACTCCTCCCTCCTGTCCACTTTTGTCCATGGCCAATGAAAATACCAAATAACTTTTCTGTAATTACCTTCTTAAAACATTGGCCAACAAGAGGATGAGACTATAAATTGAAGTGTTTAAGTATTTTCACTGTTGCTGGAAAAATGACTGAGAGTATGTGTTCTACTATTGGTGACTCAGTTGAGAGTTTATTATAAGAATTAGGGGTTCTTTCTTCTACTGCAAAGAATTTTAAACTTTAACTTGACAAGGAGAGAGCAAAGTTACTTTTTACGGTTTTAATTATGTGTACTGCACTATAAGCTTACTACTTACTATTCCCAGTCCTTCCACAAAGGAGCTAAGTTTCCTTGCTGATATTTGTACAATAAAATAATAAAATTGAAAGTAAAGATGTTTAGGGGCTTTGACATAAATGCAGGAAAATTGCATGTAGAACTGCTTGTCAAAATCCTGTGCAGTTATGAAAGGGAAGTTACAGTTTTGGTACCATGTCTATAGTTTTATTCTAATTATTCATCCCAGTAAATAACCAAATTCTGTTTACTAATTTGTAGGTCCATTTTCTTTTGTTTAGACCTTTCGGACTTAGAAAACAATGGATAGCTCTTATTCTCCTAATGATTTCACACACTGCAAGACAAATAATAAGCCTTTATTATTAGTTCAAGGCCATTCTATCCACAAAGCTTAAATTTCCGTTAGAATTTGTTTTCTAGTTTAATATTCTTTATGCTTCATACTTTTTTCATATTGTTTAAATATAGAAAAATATTATTTGGATTGCTTAAATTTTTTTTGACCACTGATACATACACACACACACACACACACACACACACACGGAATAAGAGAACAGCTGCTTAAAAACATGTTTTATTAGCAAAGTAAATAATGACTGAAGTTTCAGTGAAGGTGAAATCCTCTATCAAGAGTTATTTATTAGAGAAAAATCAGTCACCTGTAACTAGTTTTTAACTGTGTACTCCTATGCCCTATATGTAGTCTTGTTTACTTTTTTGCTGATCAAATAAATCATGAAAAGATAAATATCAGCCAGGCAAATTATCATACATTCTAAATAAATGGAATCTGAATTAATGAACTAGATAAAAAATATGTTAAGGTCATAACTTGTTTTCTACCGAGAATTTCATGTTTATAGACTCTATGATGAGTCTCCAGTGAGACTTCCAGATCTCTTACTGGCTCTAAAGATCTGGGCAGACTTGTTTCAATTTCCATGTTCTTACATTATCTGCTTTCCATTTGTTTATAAAACCTACATTTACCAGTAAAAACTAAAACTTCAGAGATTGAAAACTGAATTCTTTTCTCTTTGTTAATATTGGAATTACATATTATAATTAAAATCTTTACTTTTTTGATAAGACTATTTAATAAATATACATACTACTAATTTGAGGGGGGAATTCAGCCCTAAATATAAGCATGAATTTGGTAATTTTTTGTGATACTGATTTGCTTTTGTGAACAGATTAACTTTAGTGTTAATTAGTGCTGTTTCTAATTCCAAATCAGGTCCTAGGGATAGCAATCAGAATTTTCTAGTAATAGTTAACTTTTCTGCCATAATTAATTTCAATTCCTGTTTTGTTTTGTGTTTTTAAGATCATCTGTCTATTTTTAATGTTAATCCTGAAATTTTTAGGTCATGAAGTCAAATTGCTAAATGTTGTTGCCAACCTGTTGAATATGATCATTGATTTTATCCTTTTGGCATAATTATTATTATATCACCCTTTTATGTTATGAAATCATACTGTTTTAATATTAATAAAATGTAAAATGCCTTCTAAATTGCTCATGTAAATATATTGATCAGAAATGACCATTTGCGTTTTAAATCATATGATGCTGTTGAGTTTAAGGAAGAGAAAGATCTGAGGGCATTCTTTATCATCTGTAAAATGTCTGAAGGAATTAGGGGTGAGGCTCTTGGCTTGGGAGTGACTGTATTGAATGGAACTATTGAATAGGACTATTCAAGTGAATAGATGTGTAGATTCCATGATAGCTTAATCATGAGTATGACAGAAGAGACATGTTTTTAGGTTCTGTTTCTATTGTCCTAATATTTGTTCCACTAGTATCATATCTTCATATTGTAAATAAATATTTTTCTTAAAATATGGCTTGTCTTTTTGTGTCATAAATTTATGTCCACATCTCTCATCAGTCTGTGTCTTTTTGGAATGGAAGGTTTAAAGTGCCATTGGATTTTTATTATTCTTACTTAATGAGTAAGCCTCCCGCCATTTACTTGAAGAAGTCATATCTTGAAGGAATAAACAGTTTTGCTTTTATATTAGCAGCTTGTTGATTTATTATTTATTTATTTTTTAAAAAGATTTTATTTATTTATTTGATAGAGACACAGTGAGAAAGGGAATACAAGCAGAGGGAGTGGGAGAGGGGGAAGCAGGCTCCCCGTTGAGCGGGTAGCCCAGTGCAGGGCTGGATCCCAGGACCCTGGAATCATGACCTGAGCCGAAGGCAAATGCCCAGTGACTGAGCCATCCAGGCACCCCAGCAGCTTGTTGATTTTTAATATAAAAAAATTAACTAGTTTCCTAGCTCTTGTTAAATAATAGATATTGCTGTTAGTGTTGTATATCTCTGTTTTTTTCTTTTTTTTAAACTAGTTGTTAACCTGGCTTAGTTAATATTGCTTTTACACTATTACAAAACTTAATACTGATAAAAATTTTTATGTCTGTTATCCCAATTGGATCTGTACACCCAACTAGGTAGGAGAGGGCATATGTTTGGGATATGTTAAGGCCTCAGAAATCTCAGTGTCTGAACTTAGTTTCTCATTCCATTTGCCTAGGTGGGAATCATGGTCAGATGGGAGATTCAGGAAGGGATTGGGCAGCTCTCCAGGTAGATTCTTCATGAAATGATATTTTAAGGATTCAGCTGTTCTTAAAGTGGTGACTGAGGGAGTCTACGCTTTTTCAGACTTGTTGGCTCTTTTGTTCTTCCTGCTACCTTGGAATCTTGTGTTATAGATGCTGTGTCACTTGGCAGCTAAAGGAAGTAGACTGTGGATCTTTCAGGTGATTCAAGGGGCCAAGCTTAGAAATCGATCTATCAGTTCTGCCTACATTGCATAGACTGGGGCCCTGTGACTCCAGGCCAAAGTGCAAGGGAATCTGGGAATTCAGTTGCCATTGTACGTAGCGAGTAAAAGTAAGATTGGTGTCTGGTCCTTCTCTGCTGCAGGTGATGTGTTTATAGATGAAAAAACAAGTTTTAACTTTACTCGTATTCATGAGTAAATGAAACAGATCTAGGCTTCTTATCATGAAGTTCCGTGCACAGTATAGTATTTATTTAACGTATGGCTGCTCATCAACTCTAGAACAGAGTTTGGAATTTGGTGGTGGTGAACTTTTCTACAATTACTGTGATTTCTTTTGGCAGTTAACAGAGTAATTTACTTAAGATTTTTTTTCCTACCTTCTGTTCCTAGTGGTACTTAGCCATGTATAAGCTGTCCTTCAGGTTATATGTAGTTGGTATATGATTTGTCTTTGCTTGGTGTATTCTGGCTTTTCTGTGACTCTGTAGCCACCTTTTATTTTGAATAAAAAGGCACCTCAGCATTGAGTTTGATGACCACAGATGTGACTAGCGTGAAGTAGAGTGTAAAAAATGTCATCTGTTCAAATTATACCTCTCACCTCACTATTTGAAATTAAAGTTATACCACATTACTAAATAATAAATATTTTGTATTCCATTCTTCCAGTTTTCTTCACTAGAAAAATATTTTTCTTCTCAGAAAGGTTCTTAGTTCTCCTTTTTTATACGCCTTTTTATGTGACTGTCAGATTTTGTTGACGGGATTCTGCTTTAACGAGAACTTAGGTGACAAAATCTCTTCTTCTGTAACCTGTGAGCATCTATTACTAACGTAGAAAAGCAACTGTGAGGAGTCTACTGCTCTCACTGTTCCATTCCTCCCTCTTTCCCCAAAGGGAGGAAAAACCATGGGAAGTTGGTTTCTTTGTACCTTTAGTGTAAACTGCTGTCCCTAACATAAAGAACACTTCTAACAGCTGCTCAGATCATCCAGAGATGGTTGTTTTTTTTTTTTTATCATGTCCAGCATACCACTGTATAGTAGCCAAAGAATTCTCTACTTTCTGTTGTAATTAAAGTTCCTTTTTGTTTTGAAGTTTGCTTGGCCCCTCTTTTCATGGAGAGGTAAGTGATAGGTTACATTCTTTGTACATTTGAATAGTGGGTTTTGCATGAGGAAGTAGGATTTTGCCTTTTTTTTTCCCCCTCTGTACTAGCTTCTTTGCTGACCTGCTTTCCATTTCATTGATTGTTTAGCTTAAACCTGCATTCTTCTTTACCCCTTTATCTCCCGAGGCTCTCACTTTGATCTGCTACTTCTTATCATATGTTCCTCACTGGAAACATGTTATGGTTGGATTTATTCTGATTTTGTCTCATCCTATATTGAGTAAATGGCGTGCAACACCTTCATATTCAGTTGCTCTAATTCTTTTTGCCTGTCTCTTTTGCATGGTGCCTGATCCAAGAATCTGCAAGTTCCCTTTGGTGAGAGAAACCTACTATTCAAATGCACAGTAGGTGGGACCTAAGACCCAAGGGAAAGTTTAAATTGTCAGCTACCACCCTTATGGAATGCCTGAGTCCTTGCTCTCCTTGCCTTTAGTCCTCTTAACTTCCATCTAGTTCCAGAATGCCGTGCTGTTCTAGTAAAGTTTCCAGTAAATAACGAGAGTGTG